GATGGTAGTCATTATTGCTGGGATTTATAGTCCGCTATAGCTGATGGTATTCTGCATTGTTGTGTAATGTATTGCTGGGAATTGTAGTTCTCTAAAGCCAATGCCATTCTGTAATGCTGTACAATGTATTTCTGAGTTAGTGGCAGAACTACTAGGGTCGCAGCAGTCATGCACGCGCACAGCCCTGACGTGGCATCCCTCCACTACCAGTGTGCTTTACATTTCCTAAACCGATAAATACATTCACACTACTGTTACATGGATGGCAAAAGTGGCAGACGGGCGGGGAGAAGGCGGGGGAAGAGGCAAAGCGGGAGGGGGGTCAAGTTGCCGCACCATGGGCCTCTGGGTTGTACTTGCCCCCTGGGCTAAAAGTTGCCAGTCAGCCCCTGCTTAGGAACATGTTCGAAAACCCGCCGAGAATCGTACGATTGTCGGCGGGTGTGTGGCATATTCATAAGATAAATGCCGCACGGGACGGTGTGCGCAAGCCCGCCCCTCGATTATCGCAAGTACGATCTGCCGGTCCAAGATGGGCAGATCGTATGTTTTTTTAATGACCTTACAACCATCGCAAGACAAAAGTCTTGCGATAGTTGTAGGGTCTGTGGCCAGCTTTAGGCTAGATGCTCGAGTCGAGCGTGAGTTCTGTTTGACCGCTTCACACCACACAAGGCAATGCGCCTTATGAAGCCCTAATTGGCTAAAGACTTTGCCCAATCAGGGCTCAGTACTCTGTAAGAGCCATGATTGGACACAGTCATGATGACTTTGCCCAATCATGGCTCACCTGTCAGATGACGTCAAACTATACAATTTGGCGGATCTAGCTGTCACCGCTAGCTCCGCCCAATTGTTTGTTTTGCCGGCATCTGTCAAAATGCCATTATGCGATGGGTGTCGGCGTTTTTACAAAAAATTATTATTGCTATTTATTTTTTGTTGTTGTATTTTTTATTTTGTCAAGTCGTCGTCATCGTGGACAACGCTGGATGTCGTGATTGACCGTGGATTACATCGGTGGATCAATTTTTGTGGGTTTTTTTTTAAAAAAAAAAGACTTCTCAAACACATGTCTTTTTTCCCCCCCAAATAAAGGATTTTATCAAAAGTCTGGACTTTTTAATAACAATTTTATTTAACCCTTTAGTGAATGGGTGAATGGGTAGGAGTACAAGTACCCCTTACTCATTGACAAGGGGGGGCGGCATCTGGCTGCCCCTTTATTAAAGGGGCACCCCGATGTGAATAAGCCCCATGTGCACACCCCCACAAACAACCATCGGCACAGGGACAAGGTGCTTTTCCAGGGGCAACCCTGGAAAAGCACCCTCCCAGTGCCGAGGGCATGTTGCCTCTCTGGCCCTTCCAGGCCTATGCTCGGATCAAGGGTCTAGTATGGAATTTTAGGGGGTACCCTACGTTTTTTTCCTCCCATTTTTGGGGGTGGGGTTCCTCCTTAAAATTCCTACCAGACTTTAAGGGTTTGGTATGACTTTGAGGGGGAACCCCACACACGTTTTTGTGTTACACGGGGTGCCTCCTAAATATTCCTACCAGATCTTAAGGGTCTGGTATGACTTTTAGGGGGAACCCTATGCTTTTTTAAAATAAAATTTGGTCCCTCCTAACATTCCTACCAGACCTAAAGGGTCTGGTATTGTTTGGGAGGGGGAACTGCAAGCTTTAAGATTTCAAATTTCAGTTTTGCAACAGCAGGTTCTATACATTGTACAGATTTGCCGCTTTACAGGCAGGTTAAGGGGATCCCCCAGGCACGATGTTTGAAGGAATTTTTATTTTTTATTGTTACTCTTTAAGTGTTGTTAAAACCGTCCGGCTCACTTTTTTGTGGGCTGGAGGGGGCGTGGCGGGCAAAGGAAGTGAATGGCACCGTAGCCGTGCCTTTCGGCCGCACTGGATCAAAAGGCACATTATGCCTGCGGTCTGATCAAAATGCTGCAAGCACTATTTTGATCGCACCGGACCGCAGGCATAATGTGCCTTGCGATCCAGTGCGGCCGATCACATTGCGGCCTCCTGCCACACAAAAAAAGTGAGCCGGCCGCAATGTGAGGCAGTGTGTTCTGGCCAGAATCGGGCCGGAACGCACTGCATCTGGTGAGAACGAGGCCTAATGCAGTGGTTACATCATCCGCTAATCTGTTATGTGATCTTCTAACTGTGGGCAGGCGGCATAGCATGACTAGTAATAGTGTTTGCAAATGTGCCAGCACCTTCCTATAAAAGGCTCTCCCACCAGCCTTTTATTAGTGTGTGTTGGATTTGGATTAGATAGGGACAGCTGTCAATCAGAATGATTTCAAGTAGAGATAGTTACTGCGGTACAGAGCTACATACGTGTTATTCAGTGATATATACTGTGTATATGTGTATGTGTGTGTGTATGTGTAACTATATATATATATATATATATGCACTTAAAATTGTCCTCTTCACTAAACAGTTGAATATTCCTCAACGGCAATTGGAAGGAATGAAACGGGTTGCACATTTTGTCAGCCTCATATATGTTCGCTTTTGGCATGAGGCAATTGTAAGTCGATGGGCTCCAAAGAATTATTTGGATATGCTACAGCTTCTGAGCACTTACCCAGATGCAGACGTCAAAAAATGTGCTCTCGCAGTTGCTAAGAGACACCTTTGGCATCCGTCAGAAACAAACGTAGGATTGGCTTTTTTGGACGAACGTATTACTCAGGCTGTTAAGGAAAATATGACTAAAAATTTAGAAACCAAACCTGCAAAGAAAAAGGAAGTGAAACGATTACAGGGTAAAAACATGGTTTTTGAAGGAAAAGACCTGAGTCTTTTTATTACTAATAAAACAAAGACGTTCTTTGAATTGTTTGGGATCCACGACGTGGCAGAATACTGCAGTGATTCTCTAAGAAGCCATGTGAACGCTCTTAAAGGAGAACTATGGCTACAGCTCGCGGTATACTGAGACGCCGCAGCCGGAGCGGATCCCGACTTAGACGTCGAGATCTGCCCAGCTGCGTGAGTGACAGCTGGCTCTGCCTATCTAGAGGCAGAGCCAGCTGTACCCGCCCCCTCCCCCGTCCGTTCCGCCAGTCAACGGTGGCAGATCGGAGCGGGGAGAGGGGAATCCAGCCCCTCCCCCTGTCACGGCAGAGAGCCATGACAGGATCGAGAGGTGAGCGAACCCGGTATGTGTTCGTTCACCTCCTGATCTACTGAGCCGACCTGTGACAGTCTCATTGTCACAGGTCGGCTAGAACTATGAGGTGAGTGGAAATCACTCATCTCATAGTTCTCCTTTAAGGTTGTCAATGATACCGCAGAAAGTATAACGAATCGGTCAGGGATGAACAACAAAAACAATTCTTGTTGAGGGTAGTCGAGCATCACAGAAAAGTCGTCACCAGGCACTAAACGAATGGAAAGCACTCAGCACAGAGGCTTCCCATCCTTTCGCAAACTGGAGATAGTAAAATATTTACTATCATCCAGTTATGAATGGGTAGAAGCCTCTATGCAGAGTGCTTCCACTCATTGATAAATTCATGAATGAACAGGAAGTGATGTAAAGCACTTCCTGTTCATTCACAACTGAGGACACATAGTAATAAGGGGTTAAATGTTTCACAGTTGAAAGGGGAAAGAAAGAGGCAACAGCACTAAAGTTGGCAAAGATGGGAAAGATGTACAGAACAATATTCTTTGTGATTTGGGATATCCTAGGTGGTAAAAACTGAGCCAAGATCTGGATCAGCACTGACTTTTTTGCTTTAATAACTATAGTTTGACACGCATAAAAGTATTTCAAAATTAACTGTGTAAAATGTGTAAATTACATTACAAAACAAATGAACAGCTATTGTGCAAGTTCAAATATTGTTTTTTAAAGTATGTAAAATAATTCTAAATATTCTAAAAGTATATTTACATTGTTGCATTATAAGAATACGTTACAAAAAATAATACCAAAGTAATTTCTCCACTGCCTTTTCAGAGCCATGCATTCTAAATTATAATTACATAAAAGGAAATAACACAATTGTTGTAAAAGCCAGGGAAAAGTATTTGAAACATAACCAAAATGTGAGATTTAAATGTTTACCATCATTTAGACTATTTGATTCTAAGCTACTAAAAGTAAAATGTTTGAATGGAAAGCTAAAATACCCAAAATGTGTCAAGACTGGTGAGTAGCAGCCATAACACTGTAGCACATAGTGGCTTCAGATTTTTTTACATTCTTACTATTTTACATTTACATTTAACACAGTAGCTTTTTTCATATGAAATACCTGTTTAATCTAAATACAACTAGTTTATTTACTGTGTGGACGAATTAGGCAAAATAAGGCTTCAAGTAAAGTTATGTCTTTTGTAAAATATTGTTACAAATTATATCATGGCTACGAAAGCCAATGTGCAATTCATTGTTATTAAATATTGCCTTTCAGTTTCAATGTGCAAACACTGTCATTTTCTATAGTTGTCAAATAATCAAACTGTGATTGTCTTGCATAATGGAAAGCTGGGGGTGTTTACGTTGTCATGTATAAAGTGCCTCCAGAAATTGATTTTTTTTCTGCTTTTTACCAAAAAATTGCTACAGAGACAAAAACCAAACTTACACAAACAACATCCTTAAAATGTCTAACAACTGTTGCCATATAAAGTTTAGCTTGTGTAATATCTTCAATAGATGTTGTGATATGTGGGAAGATATGTATGTGTGTATATATATATTTGTCTGCATCTATCTGCATGTTATGTGACTCTCAGTTTCTCAATTGTGTTACTGTAAATCTGTCTTCTTTAAAGGCCTAGCTATTGTTTTGTGAGTTTATCACATCTCACAGGGGGGGTAAACAGCAACCCTTATTTAAATCCTCTAATCAGGTTACGCCCAATGTACATTTGGTAGCCACTGTACAATAAGGTGGATATATAAGGTATTGTTAGCAAGCCATGTGCTCTCTTTTACCTGGGACACAAAGGCATTCAATATGAACAGGCGAGAAGCTGAGAGGTAAAACTCCACCACACTTGTACTGTACATTGTCTTTTAAATATTGTTTTGTGTGTTATTTGTAAATATGTAACCCTACCAATAAATGTATATTGCTGATTGAACTACTTCTTTTGTCTAAGAATCCTCAGATCTAGGGGTGTTTATGTGAATAATATTGTAGTCATTGAAATATATTTACATATCCATTCCCCCGTGGGTTAACACAACTAAATTTGTAGAATGTTTATGCAAAACTTGCAAATTGGCATCTACATATTTTTTTATTTACTAATCTCTCTTTGTAATTGTTTAATAATGTACTGCAACATCTATGTTAGACTTAAATATTGTTTCTGGAGAAAATTACTGGCATTTACATACTTCTAATCCAGCCCCCATACAACCCTGCCTCTTACCTTACCATGCCTCAGTTTTGTGAGCAAACAATGCATAAAGCCAAAAACACAGAGGGGCAAGACGTGTCCCTCAATGGACTTGAAGAAATAGATTTTACTGTAAGTACAAAATTCTTATTATCATTATAACCGATTGAGGGACACAGTATTGTAGAATAGTCTAGGATATGTGGAACTTCAAAAAGCAGACCAACTAAGAAATGAGCAAAGCCACTAAGAAGAAAATCAACAGATCTGAAATTTTATTAGCATCAACTTCTGAAGGAAGAGTTGATGAATAACAATTTATCGACTATGTAAAAGGACAATGTCAGTGGGAGACATGTAGGGTCAACCTGGTATTCCAGATCAGGACTGACAACTCCAATAGAAAACCAGTACTTGAAGGAGCAAGGAGCCTCTGTCAATATTGAGAAGGACAAGCAAAGGTTCACCATATGGGAAATATAGGTGGAATAATAGTAACCAAACAGGAAATTAACTTTTACCAACAGTTGTTAGGCAAGCAAAAACATTTTTAGTGTAAAGGCACATGCCTAGCAAACCCTAAACCCCAGGAAAAAGAAACTAGGACATACAAGATATGCCCATAAAAATAAAACTAACTGTATAACATTTAGAAACTTAGGATATTTTAAACCTTTTATGTTTGGACAAGGAAGATCTGCAATGTAAAGCCCCTTTTACATAGGTGCCTGTCAGTTCTAATCAGCAGGGGATCCATACATGATTTCCCTGCTGATTAGAGCAGTACGGAACGGATGTAACCATTGTGACATCCATGCCTATCCAGTATTTTCCTCCAGCATGTAATGAAGGAGAAAACTGAAATTAGGCCCATGTTAGGTCTGTAAGGAGGCAGATCTAAATAGACATGTGTCTGCTTATTTGAAATCACCCTGATCTGTCATGATCAGGTCCACCAAAATGAAATGTTTAACAGTTGGAAAGGGAAAAAAAGAAAAACAGCACTAAAGTTGGCAAGGATGGGAAAGATGAACAGCACAATATTCTCTGTGATTTGGGACATCCTGGGTGGTAAAAGTCAAGCCAAGATCTAGGTCAGCTATGACTTCTCTACTTTATTGACTACAGTTTGACATGCATAAAAAGACATCTAACTGAAATAATTGTTCTAAAATCTGAAATTACATTACAAACATTGTACTTTTTTTCTGCTTCTGCAAGTTCAAATATTGTTCCTAAATAATCTAAAATACTTGCAACTGTATTATGCTAAAAGCAGTCTTTCATGTTGTTACTTTATAAGTATTTGTTAGAAAAAGTAATACTAAAGTAATTTTTCTACTGCCTTTTTAGAGCCATGCACTCTAAATGAAAATTACGTAAAAGGAAATAACACAATTGTAAATGTCATGGATAAGTTTTTGGAACATGACCAAACTGTGCAATTTAAATGCTTACCAACATTCGGAATATCTGATCCTAAGCTGCTAAAAGTAAAATGCTTGAATGGAACGCTAAGATACCCAAAATGTGTCAAGGCAGGTGAGTAGCAGCCATAACACTAGTGGCTTAAAAATTTCTCACATTCCTCTTATTTTACATTTTCATTTAAAACAGTTGCTTTTCTCATCTAAAATACCTGGTTTACTCTGAATTTACTGTGTGGACAAATTAGGCAAAATACGGCTTAAAGTAAAGCTCAGCGTTTTATATTTTTACAATATACTGTATGTATATCATTGCTACAAAGGCTAGTGGCCAAATCATTGTTATTAAATATCACCTTTCAGTTTCTGCCTGCAAACACTGTCATTTTTCTATCATTGTAAAATAATCAAAATGTAGTATTTGTTAGAAAAAGTAATACTAAAGTAATTTTTCTACTGCCTTTTTAGAGCCATGCACTCTAAATGAAAATTACGTAAAAGGAAATAACACAATTGTTGTAAAGGTCATGGATAAGTATTTGGAACATGACCAAATTGTGCAATTTAAATGCTTACCAACATTCAGAATATCTGATCCTAAGCTGCTAAAAGTAAAATGCTTGAATGGAAAGCTAAAATACCCAAAATGTGTCAAGACAGGTGAGTAGCAGCCATAACACTGTAACACATAGTTGCTTAAAATTTTTTCACATTCCTCTTATTTTACATTTTCATTTAAAACAGTTGCTTTTCTCATCTAAAATACCTGGTTTTCTCTGATTGCAACTAGTTTATTTACTGTGTGGACAAATTAGGCAAAATAAGGCTTAAAGTAAAGCTCAGCCTTTTATTGTTACAACATACTGTATGTACTGTATACCATTGCTACAAAGGCCAGTGGCTAAATCATTGTTATTAAATATCACCTTTCAGTTTCAGCCTGCAAACACTGTCATTTTTCTATCATTGTAAAATAATAAAAATGTAGTTTTCTTGCAATATGGAAAACTGAGGTTGTTTATGTGGCCATGTGCAGAATGCCTCCAGAAATAAACTTTTTCTGCTTTCCACCAAAAAGAAAAATGCCTACAGGAACAAAAAGCAAACTCCCACACAAAAAAAACATCCTTAAAATGTCTAATTACTAAATTTGTATAACTTTTTATGCAAAAGTTACAAATTGCCATCTGAGTAAATTTTCCATTATTTACTAATCTCTGTTTGTGATTGTTTATTAATGTACTGCAGTATGTACAGTATGTTAGACCTGAATATTGTTTCTGGAGAAAATTAGTGACTTTACTTCTAATCCAGCCCCCATATAACCCTGCCTCTTACCACCATGCATAAAGTAAAAAACAGAGGGACGAGACATGTTTTCCTAAACAGACTTCATGAAAATAGGGGCCTAAGGGCGGTTCCCAGACAGCAATAAATTATAAGAATATGTATGCATATGAGAGCTTTCTAAACAGACAATTAAATGGTTAGAAAGTAAGAATAAAGGAAGAATAGTAACTTACAAGTCTTAAAATGAAGGGAATAGGGTGATTAACAAAACCTGTAGTAGGTAGAGGTTGAAGTTAAATTGTAACACCTGTAGGCAAATGAAAATTGTAGAAGTATTAAAAATAATCCATACTATTGTTATTATTATACCTGAAATAGCTTGAGAAATGTAATAGCCATATTGAAGCCTACTAGAAGTATAAAATATATATGACTCTAGGGGGTTGATTTACTAACCTTATAAACACGCCACAAACAAGTATACACATCTGTAGTGTGTTCCCTCCCAGCATGATCTATTGGTGGAATCTAGACACCTTTGTAGTGTATACACACCTAGCAGGTGTGTTGTGCAAAGCCCTGCATGAATTGTGTAAATTAGCACTACATTGTGTTGCTTGCGTTGATGAATGCAGGAATGTAAATGCATGAGCTAACCATTTTTGTCTAAACTGTGAAGCAGCATTATATATTCATCATGTGCATGATTTTTCCATATATGGCATTAGTGGAAATATGCTTTTAGAGACTTTTTGGTTGATAAATACGTTTTGCTGTGTAAAAATCACACGCACCTAGTGCGTGCGTGTGTTTAGGTTAGTAAATCACCCCCTAGGAATCAATATATTTTGGACTTCCCTAAGCAGAATCCACTGCAGAGGAAGGAAAAATAGGGAAAAGAAGTGAGGTGCAACTAAAGCTAATGCAAAGGGGTGAACAAAAGGGGCTGTTCACACACAAACCTGACTGCGACTGCAGCAGGAAGTGTTTTATTTGATACATTTGATGTGTTATTACCGCTGCCACTAAATAGTAACTACATATTGTCCCATTTACTTCCTTGGACATTCGTTTTTGGACATTGTAGGACATTATTTTTTGGACATTGCACATTATTTATTTTTTTAATAAAGTATTTTGCCGTAGGTACGGTTTTGTTCATTTATTTAATACTTGATTTTTTTTGTGTGAATCAGTAACTATGTACCCCTTACTCATTCACATGGGGGGGGGAGATATCTGGGAACCCCCTTTATTTTAAAGAGGGCTTCCACATTTAGATAAGTCAATCCCACACAGACCCCCACATACTCTTGGAGACCCTGTCCTCATCACCACAGAGGGACATGTTGGCCATGTGGCCTGGCATGGTTCAGGAGGGGGTTCCCCCTCCTTTATTGCCAGGTCAAGTTGCATGATCGGATAATGGTCTGGTATGGATTTGAGGGGCGGGGGCTTTAAGTGCTGCTCTCTGCAAAGGGTATTTTATTTTTCAATTTTTTTGCATTGTTACATGTCACTCTTGGCAGTGCCCAGTTTCCCAAGCCCTTTGTTTTACAATCACTATTAGCTGTTAAAATGGAGAAATGTTTTTTGTTTTTTTTAAGCATGTAATCTTTTATTAATAATACAGCAGCTATACATAGTGGAAAACACAGTAGGTTTAGGTAGAAATTTATCAGAACTACTACTACAAAAAAAAAGAGAACTCCTAAGTAGAAAACCAATCGAATTATCAAGTATCAGTACCAGTAGAGTGCAATTGGTGTGAGTACACGGATTATGTCTTAAAAGAAGGGTAGAAAAGAGAACGTGACTAATTAGTAAGAAAGGTCCAATGAATAGAGTGCGCTCAATCGTGTTCTCCCAGGACATCAAGAGCACCCAGGGATCCCGCAACCCTTGACGTAAGGTACCACCTCGTATCCTGAAAGAGTAGCATAATAGTCTTAAGTTGGTCTATAGACAATTCAGACAGCATGAATGAGGTCCAGGTAACAAAAAACCTGTCAGTGTTATGCATGTTCACTTGGGCATCCAGTTTATCAAATGTCATAAGTTTATGAAGAAGGCTTTTCAGGGAAGTTAACAAGGGAGGGGTAGGCAAAAGCCAGTTCATCAGTATCGCCTTCTTGGCAGCGACCACACATTTTTACCTAGAGATATTACTAGAATTGGAGGTTGCTGAGGGAGTAGGAGTGTGGAACAGACAGAGGGTAGGGGTGATAGGCCTCTGAGCATCTGAGTGATTATTGACATAGGAGATGACGACTGACCAAAATTATTGAATAGAGGGGCATAGCCAAATTAAGTGATCTAGGTCCAGAGAATGGGCTTGGCATTTGGGACAAGAAGTCAACCAGTACTGGGGGGGTGTGCCTACAACCTATATTAAAGGCGTAGAACGCTCTATGAATCAATTTAAACTGAAGTTCTCTCCAGGATTCACAAGTAATGGCTTTCCGAAGTGCAGTCCATCCCCGCAGTATGAGCTGTGCAGTGTCATTCGGTGTTATACCTAGAAGAGACGCCCATTTAATAATATGTGAGGTAAAGGATTGTTCAAATGTAGAATGGGAAGAAGAATGTATAGAGTGGACAATAAATGATAGCAGCATCTTTTTAGATGGAGATAGTAGAAGATTATGAAAGGGAGAATGGTTAGGGAGAGACCAGGGTAGTGGCAAATTCCTGTTTATAAAATTACGTATTGGGGCATATTGAAGGAAGTGGTTGGTCGAGATATGGTACGTATTTTGTAGGTCCCTGTATTGTTTGCAATGTTCCTGGGGAGTTAATAAATCGTTGATAGTGCAAATACCCTTGGTGTGCCAAATAGCAAATACGGGCGACTCTCTAGCAGGAGAGAAAGCAGGGAAGGATGTTAGAGGCATTAGAGGTGAAGTCACCCCCGGGTTCTGATAAATTTCTGGACCTCCCTCCAAGTGAAAAGTTGATTTTTAAGATTCACCTGACATTGACTTCTGTGGGGGTTTCATATTACAATTTGCAATGTACCATTTTTCTGAGGAGTTTTACAAATACATCTGCAAATAAAATCAAGATTGGCCTATCACAAATCCCCAATATACTTTCAAGAGGCTAATAGGATGGGGTCTGATGTACCCACAAAATATTTGCACTCTGTTGAAGGAAACTAGGTGGAGGACACACCTTTTAAGTAAAAATATGTAAGACATTCCAATAAGAGGAATGAAAGAATAAAAGGCACTAGGGATAACATAGTGTTTTGTACCATGGTAAGAACTGCAAATGACCAAAGCATTTGAAACTGATTCCTGTAGATTAGGGAGTTAGGAAATCTCTACAGAGAAGAATAAGGATGAAATAATCAAGCATAAGCATGAGCAGCAGAAATCCAGTAATGGGGAAAAAACTCCATAGAAGGGGGAATCCAGGAGTATTAGGGATGGCACACTCAAGGACGGATCTCTAGCAGAGCACAAAAGTACTCAAGTCACATGTAGGAGTGTAATAATGGCAAAAAAAGGTTAATTAGAATCTCTTTATCTAAGTTTTAGAAAGCAAGAAGCTACAGGGGGAACCTGAGCCTCACAACTGTTAGGCTACAACTAACATGTGATCCAGTAAAAACAACACACAGCCACCCACATAGAAGGTGGAGGAGAGCCTTTATGCAAATGACTAAACAGAAGAGACCAAGAACGTGTGGCCTTAAGATCTGCCATTTGAAGACTGTGCATGTCTGAGGATCTGCTGTAAAAGCAGTTGAAGAAAGAGGTTGTGCCATCCCTGACAATTCATACCAGAGCCTTCAGACCCCATGACAAAAAAAGAAAAAAAAAAGTGTGGGGTCCCCCTTAAAAATCCATACCAGACCATTAATCCAGGCAGCAGCCTGGCAGGACAGGGGTGCTCATCTGCATCTGGGTACCCCTTTTCATAAAGGGGGCACCCAGATGCCACCCCCCCTTACAAATGAGTAAGGGGTAGTTATACCCCTACTCATTAACTAAAGAGTTAAATCAAATGTAAATAAACGCACAACAGCTTAGAAAAAAATGTAATTGAACAAAAAACAAAACACAAGTTTTTGGCAATTCCTTTAGCTAAAAAGAAAAAATGTCCTATGTCAATTCCGACCCCTGCCGACTGATGGGGGAAAAAACACCCGCCGTTGGCAGCCTGATGCAATGTTTACATCAGGCAGTGGGCAGAAATAAACAATGCTATTGGCTATGTAACATTGAAATAGCCAATACAGGCTAGCTAATGCACCCGCCCACTACCTGATGTCAATTACAGAGGAGCGGAACTTTCTCTCTCAGGTCCGTTCCTCTGTAGAAGCAATAGCCATTCTGCTATTGACTATTTGAAATTGCAATAGCCAATAGTAGGCTGGTTATTGCTCCGCTCCCTGGCTTCTGTCAATCAGAGCGGACCTGAGAGAGAACTTTCTCTCTCAGGTCTGCTCCTCTGCTTAATCACATCAGGCAGGGGGCGGAGCAATAGCCAGCCTTCTATTGGATATTGCAATTTAAAATAGCCATTAGCAGAATGGCTGCCACCCACTGCCTTCTGTCACTCCGCAGAGGAAGTTATTTCCCGGTGCGGGCCACACTACCTGCACCCCCCTAGTGACACCACTGTTCCAACCATAAAAGTATTGTAATGTAATCTTTGATTTATTCCATCAAGAAGTTATATGGTATGGCATCAAACATAGTTCATACTATTGCAGAAATGAAAAGACATTACAAGCACCAGGATATGTAAAAGTTAATGAAATGTTTGCGAACGGTACAAATATAGAGAAGGGGAAATAAATGCACATAAAAGAGCCATATTGTTTATTATATATGCAGGTGCTACTTTCTGCTTTGAATTCATGCACAACACTGTGCTTCCATGTTATATCTCTGCAAGGCTAAAGCTGGGCATACACCACATTTTCAAAACACCTTTCATACAAAAGATCCTTCGTTCAACTTTCTATTAGATGATGGGGTCAGATCGACAATCTTTTTTGACCATAGCGACAAAAAAAACTCAAAGGAGCAGGATGGCAAAAAAATTTTGAACAAACAAAATTCTAGAAGTGAATGTGGTTTTCATTCGGTAAACTCCATTCATTCCAAAAATGAATGGTAAAATCAAATGAAATTTTGATCGACATTCAAGTGTTTGATGGCATTATCGGGTGGTAAAGCAAGATCTTTCTGCCATCAGGAAACTGCCTAGTTAAGCTCTAAGTTGATCTGGTCAGAGTTTTCACAGGACAAAAGACTCCTTCCATGTGACAATGCTCAAGCTTGGCATTTAGACAATCAGACAACCAGCTCTCATCGTGAGAGAAGGGGGAAGGGGTTACATGTTCCACCATAGACATTTAATTGTTTCAGCAGCCAACAGAGTGGTACAGCAGTGAAGTGTGGTTTTAAGCAGCAGGCAAAAGGGGGAAGGGTCGGGAGTGCAAAATTAGGTGAAACTGTTGACTTTAATTATAAGTCAGTTTTAGCGCTCAGATTTTATTTTAGTTTTGTCAGTACTTTGAATTGGACATTTTTGTATTGCAAATGTTCCGCATATTTTATATATAATTTTGTATTTACAAAAATGTCTATAACTAAATGTCCTTTGTCTAGAGCCCATAGTTTACATATATGTTTATATCACAGGACCATGTACTCTAAATGATAATACAATGCTAAAAAACAACATCACAGTGAAAAGTGTTAATACGCATTGTGGAAGTGAAAGGATGCCAAACAAATGTGGTATTAAGTCATATAAAGCAAATGAGACCATTGAATTTTCCTGTTTGTCTGGTTATGAAATATCTGATCATGAGGAATTAAAAGTCAAATGTCATGGAGGAGTTGTAGAGTATCCAACATGCTTCAAAAAAAGTAAGTATACAGCATATTATTTTTTATTTTCTATAATGGTCATTCTGTTTTTTTCACAGGAAAAAACCCTTGTGAATGAAGGGTTAAAGCTGAACTCTGGATTTCAGTTCATAATGCATTCAGTCCTTCCTTCCCCAAGCTCAGTCAATATTTTTTTTTTTTAATTAATCACTCAGTGACCAAGAAAGTAGCTGAATTCTTTGCTTTGGCTACATGCACGGAGGAGAGTTCTTTGAGGCACCCACATCATATCTGACATCAACACTTCAAACCTAAACTGCAGATGGGCAATAACACAGCCGGTTGCCCTTTCTAAGAAAAGTGGTCAGCAGTTATGGGTCATTAAATGGAGATAGAAACCTTTCTGATCATTCTTCTGTATGCATGAGGAAGCAAAGCAGGGGTAGGCATTGTTTTTGGATTAAGGGATTCTCTGTTCTACCTGGAGTTCAGCTTTAAATTGACCTTATCAGCATTGGCTCCCCTGTAATGAATAACCTACTTGTACTAAAAGAGGCTCTTTATTTACCTTTCCAGTGGCCATTGATTGGAATTCCGTCTCTTCACTGTTAGCCGCCGGCCACTGCAGGTATTTGACTGGTTGATGAGTCAAATACCTGTCTCCCCCACCACAAGCAACTGTTCCTCCTGCTGGCTTGTACATCTGGTAGAGACTTACAGCCTGGTGGTAGAAACCAGTGTGTGATGGGGAGCTTGTGTGATACATGCAGCAGCCAGTAAGCACTAAAGAAAAGGCGTTTCAAGTAATTTGTGGCTAGAGATGTAGGTATAAAGCCTCTTTGATTACAGATATGTTATTCTTTACAACAGATTCTGTGCTGACAGAGTCACTCTAAAATGTAAGATAAACAATCCAGGCTTTTTAATGCCTATTGAAATGCTTTTCTTCTTTGATAAGTCAAACAGTGCTATTGCATGTGATATTGGGTGATTTGCACCACTTAGTATAAAACAAGATATTTCACAAATTATAAATCAGGCCATCATTGTATACCCTCTATAGCTCTAAGCACTTGTTATATAGCGACAACAACTTATAAACTTACAATTTCCCTATTTTTTTCTTATAGCACCAGATGAATCTACTTTTCAGCCTTTAGTAGAGACTGAAATATACTAAGAACTGGTTTTACAAAATATTGCAACTGAGTTGAAGAAAGGAAGCAATGTCAGAATGCAAGGCCTAACAAGAGCGCACCAGTGTATATAAATCTCTTTATCTTGCTTGGTAATACATCTTTGCATTAAACACATACCCCTTTAATAAATAGATTCTTTAAGCAATTTGAGTTGTTTAGTGCATTTGTGTAAGATATACAGTATATAGAGAGAAACAGAGAGGGAAAGAAAGACCATCTCTAGAAAAATAATAATAAACTAGGAAACTGCTGCTGGTATAAAATGTTCTTACCCAAAGATGCCTGCATAAACTCGCACAGCTTAAAAAAGCCCTTAAATCCAGACAGTTAAATGCCTGGCTGTTCATAGAGTCCCATCCCTTGGCCCATCAATGTGGACTGCCTCACCGGTCAATAGGAATGCACAAGAGCAAGGGGCAGGCATCCTTTGGCACCATAAGGAAATACTGGAGCTTAGCCTGTCAGAACAGCTCCGTATTTGGTTATATCTAAAGTATTTTGAAGCTGCTGCAGGCATGTGCAGTTTCTTAGTATATTTTCTTTTTATAGAGAGAATTGTCATTCCTATTTTAATGATTTTCCAAAAAGTCGCATATTGTGACACAAACAGTAGGTGCTCTGGAATAGAAAGAGCAAACCACTTTTTGTCAGTGGCAATGCTAGGTGCTGGTACACACAGAATATGCTCAAGATCCAATGTCAGGTTCCCTTGTCCTGCGGCTTATGACAGCCCTGCCCCCCTAATGGTGGCAGACTGATGCTGTATTTGTAGATACAGGAAAGACCCAGGTCAATGATCCCTATTCTACTTCCTTTTGTCCACTCTGTGTACTTTGGTTTAGATTGCTACGCACTGCAAAATAAATGCAGCAGTTACTTATTTATTATAAAAGAAGCAGTAAAGCAGTGTTTAAGACATATTGTTGCTTTATAAATGGGCCTCTACATCTTCCTTCTTGAGCAAGCATAGAAAATAGTATCAGCCCTAAAGGGGTGTTACTGCAGTGTACTCACAGTGTATTGATGCAAATAGCAGCACTGATATCATAACATCTTTGCAGCTCTGTGCATTACTGAGGAGAGGGGGCACCCACCGCCGGGTTGGGCTCTGAAGAGGATCTCTCTAGTCACTTAACCTACCTGAAGACATGTGAAAAATGTATTAAATAAAAAAAATAATCAGCAGATACTCACAGTTTGGAGGGGGTGCCTCAAGGCAGGGTGGGGGTCCTCTGGAAGAGGATGAAGCCTGGAGGACGGAGTTGGGCTTTTAGATACTTGATGCATAATTGCCAGGTAAGAATTTTTATTGAACAGGGTTGGAATAAGCCTCTGCCATATCCCTGAAAGGATCTGCTTGGCAAGCAGTAACATATGAACCACCTGAACATAATCCAGGGCATCTTATAACTTTGCACCATTTTCCAACTAGTTTCTATGCATTTGTGTTTCCATTAAACATTATCCAACATTATATAATACAAATTAACTTTCTGAGTGCAGTGCCAAATGGATACAAGAGACTTCTGCTGCAGACTACGATGACTGTGGCATTGAATGTGAGCAAACAGTGTCTTGTTTAGTAAAGCTGGCCATACACCAGTAGAATTTCATTCAAAAAATGTGTTTTTCTAAATTGTTTAATTTTATAATAGATAATGGGGTAAAATTGACAACCGTTTTTGAACGTAGTGAGAAAATAAATTAAAGGAACAGGATGGAAAAAAATTTCTTGAACAAAATTTTAACAAGGATTGTGATTTTCATTCGAGAAATTCCATTTATTCCAAAATCGAATGTTGAAATCAAACAAAATTTCGAACAATGTTCATCAAGTGTCTGTTGGCATTATCAAATGTTCTGAAGAAACTGTTTGCACCAAAGTTCATTCAAAAATCTACCAGTGTATGGCCAGCTTAACTGAGCTACAAGTGCCTCCTGATGTTTTTCAGTAGCTTCCTCAGTAGCTCATTGGTTTATATTTATTATAAAGCTGTATTTTGGGGGTTTTGTTATTTTCTATATTATTTCTTTACTATATAAAACCACAATTGCTAATGTAGTTAATTATTATTTTTTCTGTAGAACAAATATCTACTAGTATCATTTAATTAATCAGCATGGATCACTGTATTTTTCTAATTAAAGCTAAGCTAGAAGTCCTTGTTTTCACATTGTTGAGAATTTTTCTAAGATACTTGATGCATAATTGCCAGGTAAGAATTTTTATTGATCAGGGTTAGAATAAGCCTCTGCCATATCCCTGAAAGGATCTGCTTGGCAACCAGTAACATATGAAACCACCTGAACCTAATCCAGGGCATCTAATGGCTTTGCACCGTTTTCCACCTAGTTTCTATGCTTTGTGTTTCCATTAAACGTTATCCAACATTATATAATACAAATTAACTGTCTGAGTGCAGTACCAAATGGATACAAGTCCTTGTTTTCACATTGTTGAGAATTTTTCTAAGTCTGTTCCAACTGACCCATTGGTTGCATTGTTTCCCCAGAGTAGTGGGCCTAGTGTATTTTAAAATTCCTTGCTATTTTTATTAAATTCAGTTAGCAGAATTTTTTACCTCTGTGTGCTTGTGAATGGCTTCAGTCTGAAAAAAAAAGTTAATGCAATATGAAGAAATAATGCACACTCTAAAAGGTACTTTAATAACATTTATTTAACTTTGGGAACATGAACTGATTTAATTTACAATTCTTTCATTCACTGTACTTGATAATACCAGTTTTTTACTAAATGTGTGTTGGCTAACCTTCAAAGCTGTCTTCGTTATCTCAGGTCTCAGGTCATGATATTAGTTGAATGATCTCCTACAAGTCCTCATATTATTTACCACTTTTTTCTCTCTCTCCACCTTTTCTTTTTCCTTTATTAATATCAAAATGTTAAATACCAGTGGATTGCATTTGGTGGAATGTTGGTTAGCAGATGTATTTTTTTTGTAAATCTTTATACTGTTGCAGTATGGTTACATTTGTCTTCGTTGTCTATAATACTCATACTACATATTAGTGCTGCTTATTTTAAATTCCTTTCCTCGTATTTTAATGTGAAAAAGTAACAGTTGTAACAGATAAATATTTTACCAAAAGCAGAACTTCAGGCAGAAAACACCTGAAATCCTTGTTCGTATATTTTTCTAATTGCCCAAAAAAATTATATATAAAAATTGACCAATGCCATGTTGCTGACAGTTCTAGTTGTCTGGCTGTTGTGCTCATTATCTGACTTTCTGAGTCACTGATCCAGAACAGGTATGCAGATCAGGAAATCCAGAGTAAGGTCAGAAGGCCTTACCTACTTACTTTGTCTTCATCTATGACCCTAAGTATTCAATGTATGTATTACTTTTTTCACTGCAATGCAATGCACAGTTTTGTGCTGCCCTGCTCTACAACACACAGCTGCCGGGAGGTGCATTGGGTTCCTCATTTGGAGAGAACGCCCCTTTCTTTGGGACCAAATCCCTCTGTCCTTTTTTTGCTCTAATTTATAGACATCCATTTCAAATAATAGAGTCCATATAAAGGAAAATAAGTTGTGAAAAAAACACTGGTGGATTTAACTAATCATTATGTGTGTATTTATTTTTTAATGTTACTAGAGTCTGGGGATTTGACAAAGGTATGTTCTTTTACCTATATACTGTTTTCTAAAAGCTGTTCCTTTTTCTTGTCTCAGGAAATTTTTAGTTATTTGGCTATTTATCTGAATTATCCTATATTTAATAGCCTTGTGAACCCTTAGAGAGCTGAAATAAAAAGTGACTGTTATGCACAGAAACTGTGGCTCCTCTATAATTGTAGTGGAAATAAGGTAAAGGGACAATTTACCCAGAAATAGTGCTTCCTAGAGTTGTTCTTTAACAAAATTGACTGTTCTATTATTTAGCAACAATACTATTCAGCTGTTTTATAACATAGAGGATATAAAATATCCTGCTTAATACATAATCCAGTGAGATCAGATTCTGATGAATATCCTTGTTTGCATGCAAAGTGAATATTTTCTCCATCCTCAAAATAAACTTTATCGTCATCAACGGCATCAAGCTCCAAAAAGTTATCATCCAATTTTTCTTGAGATATTCGGCAAGGTTCTACAAAGCAAAAAATATTTTGGAGACTCAAAATCATTTTAAATATCATCCCAGTCATCACGGTTGTAAAATATCAACTGTTACTAGACCAGAAATTGCTTATCTATGTCGCAAAAAAAAGTCCCCCTTCACTCTAAAGGGCCAATTCACACACGAGTAGATGTAAATAAGCCTTTAATACTGAATCGGTTTTGCTGAAACCTTCAAGTTTTAGTCAGGGCAAAAACAAGAAAGTAAAACTTATATATGCAGTACATCTCTGCAATACATGCACATTTCCTTATATGTTATCCCTTTAACCACTTCAGTACCACCATGTTAAACTCCATTACCTGGTCATTTTTCACTTTTTTGTGAAAGTTTGACTGAGAATTACTCTGTCATGCAACACTATAACCAAATTAATTTTATATAATTGTTTTGAGACATATAGAGGTTTATTTTAGTTTTTTGCTATATAAAAGGAAAAAAATAAAAACAAAAATTTTTAAAAAACACCATTTCTGTTATAAAACCTATTTAAAAAATGTCAGGGCAGCACGAAAAAGGCCTCCTTTTTGGAAAACCCAAAGGTGAGCTGATGCCACAATTTTTTGGAGATAAAGAAACATGCCGGTATTGAGGGGGTTAAAACATGGAGCCTGGCGATGGTGCTTTAGATACAACAATTGTACAGGCCATACACAGAGGGAGAAGGGGTGAAGGGGTTAATGTACAGGTTACATGCAGTGGGAAGATGGAAATGAAGGGGTTAATGTACAGATGTGCAGGATAAGGGAGGCAAAGGGGATAATTTGCACGACAGTGTAGAGATAGAATGGGACTAACATAAGCAGGAGAGGAGCGGGGGTTAAAGGGTTTAAAATTATTTAATACATTATTCCTTTCTGCTGTTGCACTTTGTTTTTACTAGGAAGTAATGAAAGATGACTCATCCATTCATTATTTTCTTTACTCTCCCCTGCCTCTGATGTAAGTGAGGCAGGGGAGGGCTTGGGAATGTAAACATTACCATGTGATCACTGTGATAAGCAATCACAGTGATCACAGGGCACAGAGCCAGTCTGATCGGATCTGTGCCTAAAACCGCTGCTCTCTGCTGTCGAATGGCAGTGGAAACAGTGGCTTCTATGGGCACTAGCCGCATGCACACAGGCAGCCAAGGAAGGATGTAAAGGTATGTTGTTCTCCTATCATTTTAATGGATAGGTAATATGTATGTTTAACATTAGGCAATTATCATCATATGACCGGTATACTGTTTGTTCCAATTTGGACTAATTTACTGTACATCATCCATATGGGTCACTTCATGGCAAAAACGTGCTTAGCAACATAGTGATTATTGTATTTTGTATCTAAAGCAAGTGGTATACTTACGTCCGCGTATGCATTTGGGATATATCATTTTTCTGTCTTGGCATTTCAGTTGCAGAGCGGATAGAGCAAAATGTCCAGGTTTACACCTGAGCGGCACCGTCTCACCACCTCTGAAGACTTTACGGTGTGAAGCACTCCTTTGCAACAATATGTTATTTTGAATAATTTTGTCTTCAGAAAGTTGGCAAGAATCTGAGCCTGTGAAAATAAAACAGAAGTAGCACACTTAAATGTGTAAACATTTAATCGGCAAGAATCCCTAATAGTTATATGCATCATTTGTATATTTACATCTCTATTTTATTTTTAATTACTCTACCCAGAAACACGTCTAAATTTTAGCATCTTATATAGCCTGGACCTAGGTTGGCAAGCTTGCTCAGGGTATGATATAAAAAATTGCCTGCCAACAGCTTTAGTTACACTAGCGTTGCCTGTCCTCATTTTAATAGCAGCACATAAGCCAAACACTACAATTGCTGTTCAAAGGAGGTTTAGTAGACCACAGCAATATAAGCAATTTACCAGATGTTATTAATATAAGGAAAGGTGACATTACTATCTATGTCTGGGAGCAGGACCTCTGGCAGCATTGCTTCTGTCGCTGAATAGGAAGCCATCACCATAACAGCTTTGAGGTAGTCTAGAAATCAAGTTATGCATGTGCAATAGGATTACTGCAAATTACCGATTACTGATAAATTAAAGCCCAAATACACTCTGTGTTTCCTCTTTATAGACATGTACCCCCACATATCATGAAATACCTTTTAAATATCCTCTTCTCTCAATACAAATGTGGCTTCCTGATCCCCCCCCCCCCACCCCCCCCCTTCCAACTTCCCTCGCCCGCA